TATTTAATATTTGCTTGTTAGATTTATATCCTGCTTTTTCTTTAGAAGCTCACAATAGCATTCATAGTGCTTCCTCCTCTCATTTTTCCTCACAACAACTCTGTGAGGAAAACATTGGCCTGAGAGAGAGTCCAAAATTACCTAGGGATCTCCTTTGGCTAAGGGTGGACTAAAACCTGGGTCTCCCTGGGGCCACACAAATATTTTTTAAAACATTTACTGTGGTCCTGATGACGGTGTACCAGTTTCAGAATCAAAATGAAAAGCATAAGTCCTGGGTGGGAGCTTTCTGGATACATCTGGTTAGCCTCTGCATGACAAGAGAACATGCTGGATTATATTGGCATTAGATCAGATCAGGACTGTTAGTACATCTTATCAATCGGGAAACTAGCGTCAACTCATCTGGGGATTGGACTAATAGACTGCTGTCCACTACAAAACTGTGAGATGATTGCAATTGTGTCCCAAGGGCTTCTGCAGAGGGTAAAAAAGAAATCCTCATTTATCCCTTCCCACTGAAAAGAGTGTCATCCATATATTTTTTGACTCTCGATTCTTGAAATATCTAACTCTGGCCATTATAGCTGGTGTGGTGGGAACTACTTTCTCCCAACTGTCATTACCTATTCAATAAGATGTACAGTAGTTGCAAAGGAACCCTTTGAGTTCCATCTTCATAGGGGTATTACCATCAGAGAGGACAAACACAATTTCCATTTCTGTTCCTCTCCCTTGGAACAGGGCTCCACCTGAAGTTAGATCAGCACCTACCCAATTGCCTTTTAGAAAAGGCACCAAGATCTGGCTGTTTCAGGAAGTGTTTGAGCATTGATAGAATAGTGGGTTCATTCCCCTCCATTTAGTGTTCCTTGTTAGTGAAAGTATTGTTCCTTGGCATAATGAATGTTTTGGTTGTTACTATCAATCTTTAAAATTATAATTAATATTAGCATTAGTATTGATTGTTTAGCTTTTCTTTTTTTCATCATTGGAGTGTACAGTACATGGCTTAAAGTAATTTGCATCTGAAGGAGTAAATAAATACACGCATACATGCAAGCATACATAGACCGGAATCCAGAAATATCTGAAGGGTTATAGAATCTTCACCTCTGACCTTAAATCACTATGTCTCTCTAATTCTGAAAATGGGGGTCCCTCTGCTAAAATGATATCTGCTAAAAGTTGGGGAACTTGTTTACTTGGTTATTGCTTACTATGGCATATGATTAACATTTGAAGGGGACCCCTCCAGTATTCTATGATTAATTGGAGATGCTATTTATATTGCTGATTTTTAAATCAATCAGTACAATCAAATAATTATCTAAATATTTGCTTGCTATTGCCCAAGCTCTTGCCAGATTGTAGATGTTACCCATGTTACCAACACATTGAGTAAAAATGTGATGTTCCTGTCTTCTTATTAACAGACGGAGGATTGTACCACTGGGTGTAAGCTGTGATGCCTCTCACAGGATTTGTCCCAGTGTGCACTGCTGAGCTTTCTGGAAATGTGTAAAATATCCATGATTATCTTCAGAATGATGTCCTTACCCAAAATGAGGAGCTGATCCCTAGCCTTACCATTTGTAGTGACAATGTTGGCTGGGAATGTATCAGCTTATTGCACAGGACAGATAAACGTTTAGCTATGTCCTAATTTCATCTAGGTTTTCTCCTCCTAGGAATGCCAGGATGGCAGCATTCAAACCAATACAATACAGAGGCTGAGAGGCTTTGGAGTGCAGGACAATAGTGCTAAAATTTGCATTTCAATATTTGTCATCTGGAGCTTGCATTTCTCCTGAACCTTTACTTAACAAACTGTCTAGCCAGAGTCTTCCTCCTCATGGGTATTTTCCAGTGTGAGGCAAGATAAGAGGTGCGCGGACAGCCAGAAATTATGTAAAGAGTGCCGCTGGCACAAAGGTTATGTGTAAATAACATCTGTAAAGCCCAGTGTGTCTACTTAGAGCTATCAGCTCATATTGATTAATTTCATACACAGATACAGTATAAACACACACACACACACACACACACATTTCATTCCTTTTTTTATTTTAAGCAATAACTTGCAGGGATGCAAATAAAGATAATATGAGGATATCATATTATTGACAGCTATTAGAACTTAATCCTTTCAAAGGAAGTTTTTCTGTAAGACAAAGAATAGCCTCAGTTCCTAGCTTTGGTTGTATCAGTGCCACTGGCAGCAATGTCTCCTAAGGTAAGAAGAAAATGAAAGGTGTTGTTTTTGACCAGTGACTTGGCTCCCAGGTAGTTACCCCTCATCCTTCAGACAGTGACTCATGCCCTGGTTCACCTCAATAGCTCAACTATTGTGAAGTACTCTGATGGGGCTGTCCTCGAAAACCACTCAGAAGCTTCAACTGGCCCAGGATTCAGTGGCACAGGCAGTATGCCCACGTGATATCTCTGCTTCATGAGCTGCACTAGTTACCAGAATGCTTTGGGGTATAATTCAAGGTGCTGGTTATGACCTATAAAGCTGTCAGCCCCACTAAGTAGACCAGACCAGGAAATCCACCCCATAAAAAGACTAAAACTGCTTTTATTGAGATTGGCTATGATAACAGAATCTTGCAAGTTTGATTGTGCTATACTTCCTCCTATTCTTATTCTTCAGTGAATTGGGGAGGTGTCTGTCTGAGCCTCTTATGAATATTTTCTGCCTGTTTCTGACTTAAGATCTGTTTCAGCCCCTTTTGCCCAGGTAACAGACCCTGCATATTTCCATCAAGTTCATCCTCCTTACTCTCTAAAAAAGCCCTCCATGGTTTTTTTACCTAACCATAGGGCCTGGTTATCTGAGGGACTGCCTATATCTGGTGGTGTCTGTCCAGCCGGTACAAGCTGACAGGATTGGCACACTCTGGGTTCCTTCAGTGCCACAGTGCCATCTTTCCAGACTCAGGAAGCATGCCTTCTCCATCACGGCACCTGTCTTCTGGAGTGAGATTCCCCGTGATATCCATGTGGCACCCTCCCCCCTGCCCCCAGTGGCATTCCAGAAAGCCTTAAAGCCCTGGCTGTTCTCCCAGGCCACAGAGTAGGGTGGTTGTGGCCCCTATGAAATTGTTTGAGGGGGTGGGGGCGGTTATCCAGACTTGCCATCCGTTTTTCTTTTTTATTCGTTTCTTATAATTATTGTATTGTATTTCCTATTCTGTTTGGTTTTATTGTATACCACCCAGAGTTAATTCAGAGTTGGGGGGTGCCTAAATTGAGTAAATAAATTAAATTGAATTATCCCTATGTTGTTTAACCCTAGAGGGAATGCGTCATGTTCCCCTCGGTGGGAAATACATCAGGTGGGGGTCCAAAAGAAGATCCTCTTGGCTCTGGCCCTATCCACAGCAGTTTGAACTGAACTGACCTTACTTTGCAGTTTTCAGAAAGAAAATGTAAAGTATTTCATTTCAAGGGGCTTTTGGAATTGATTGAGTGTTCATGTTGCTTGTATGGGGAGGGTGCTCTATGGGGAGTGTGCCAGATTCATTATAGCTTTATTTGGATTGTTTTTACTGCATTGCTTTTGAAATGGTTTTATCATTGTGTTCATATTTTAGATTTATTATTGTAAACCATCTGGAGCTGGATGGAACAGGGCAATGTAAAAATAATGAATTCCATACATACATGCATATATACTTTCTGGTCAAGTTGGAACATTTTGACCAGCATGTCACAAGTACTACCAAAGCCCAGTTTTACTCTAAGTGTGCTATATTACTTGGATCTTTAATCTGAAAGCTATCTTGCAAGGCAGCATAATGTCCCTTGCATTCTAACAACTAGGAAGGATGTGCAATGTCGTGACAGACATTTAGAGCATCAGTAAGAAAAAGGTAGTGGTTTGAGGTGGTTTGGGCACTATGAGAGAATGAATGAAGACCCAATTTTGAAACAAATATATGAAGGAAAAACAAATAGACTTAGAAGGAGGAGAAGACCAAGAAAGTTGCAGCTGGGTAGAGTTGGTGAGATCCTACAAAAAAAAAGTTTGAAGAACAGAAGGCAGTTTTTGTAGCAATGGATGGATATGGTGGAAGCAAGGAGATTTGTAAGGATAAAAAGATATGGGGAGGTATAATAAATATTGTAATATTAGTATACATTAGTTTTAGCTGTTCCCTTTTCTTCCTTCCATCCCATGCTTTTAGTTATTTGGCCTAGTATTTCTTACTACTTTGTACTCAGCATAATGTTGCTGATCCAGAAAGGGAATACCATGATGGGTATGTACTGTATAGGTGTTAAAGCTATGTTGCATTATGCCAGCCTTCATAAACCTGGTGACCTCCTTACACATTTGGACTTCACCTCCCAAAATGCCTAGGCATCTATGCTGGCTGAGAATTCTGGGAGCTGAAACACAGGTCACCTGAAGAGCAGCAGGTTCAGGAAGCCTTTTTCCTTTCCCTTTCTGTCTACAGGATGAATAATGAAGGGCATGGTTTATGAAATAAAAAGCCCACCTTGTTCAAAAATTAAATGAATGTAATAGGCCAGGCATGCTATAGTCCAGAGATATGCAGTATGCTTCCTATAACCACCAATAAACCCCAAACTATTCCCTAGTACCACCAAGCTTAATATCCTATTTGACTTTCTTAAATGATAATAACAATAATGGCAATAATGCTACTATCATTACCAATAGAAAGTTGGCAGACTGCTGTGGGTCCAGTTGTTAAAGCCAGGATTGGGCATACTTTTGAAGCCAGAATTTATACTTCCTTTTCTACAGTCTCCTAGGGATGATAGAGGTAACAATGGTAATAGTGCAGCCATCCAAAGTGCAATGTGTTTTGCAGGAAGAAGAATAGAATTCAGAATATGATACATTTGCAGAAGGGATTATTATATTCAGAAGTGTTATCCCCTCAAAAATGGTATTGCCTCTCATCTGTGTGCAGATATGTCAGTGCTGCCTCCAACTGATTCATCTTGCGCTTATCTCATTTTAGCCTTGAAGAAAGGACGATTCTGGATCACACCTGACCCATATCATAAAGATGACAACATTCAGATAGGGAGAGAGGTCAAGATCTCTTGTCAAGTGGAGGCAGTTCCCTCTGAAGAGCTGATGTTCAGTTGGTTTAAAAATGGTCGACCACTGCGCAGCTCCGAAAGGATGGTGATTACTCAGACAGATCCTGATGTCTCTCCGGGGACCACCAACTTGGACATCATTGATTTGAAATTCACTGATTTTGGAACTTACACATGTGTCGCATCTCTGAAAGGTGGTGGCATCTCAGATATCAGCATCGATGTCAACATTTCCAGCAGCACAGGTGAGGGTGTTTCTGCAACTTTGTGTAGGTCAGTTGAAGGAGTTCAATACCAATTCTTTTAGGAACATAGGAAGCTTTCTGAAAGCAAGGCAGGTTAATTTTTCTATTGAAACTCAATATTGTCTGCACCTGGGATGGGCACACTGGAGCCATCAGCCTAATTTCAAAAGCTTTAATTCTGCAGACCAGGTTTATGGCATATCCTTCTTCAGTGAGAGGCTGAAAAAGAACAAGAAATAAGAGTGTGTCAAAAAGAAAGGCTATCAGGAAGCGAAAAAAGAAAGTTCAGAAAAAGAGAATGGGTTGTCCCTCCCACTGTTCATGCACCATCAGTCATTGGCAATCCTCCCCCTGCAGATTATTCCCAAAGGAATGAAGATCCTGTTACACTCCCTGCCCAACTGTGCAGCTGTTTGGTTTTTCACAATGGAATTTTCCCCAGTCTCTTTAAAAATGCAAGCAACTGACTGATGGAGATTTTGCATGCAAAGCACACATGCTTCTCTGTGCTATGACCCTTCAAAATACCTTCACATTGATGTGGGAATGAATGTGAGAAACGTTTGTGGATCTGAAAATAGCTTTGCTCATAGGAGCAGGGAATATTGTTGCTTGCTGATGTATTTCATTTCAATTCTAGCAAAACATATGCCAAAAGGCAGAATGTTTGTATCTCTATATGTGTATGTCTAGCAGAGATTATTAAATGTCTGGCATATGATGGATGAATAATAGTTGTACATGCTTGTCTTACAAGGTTGAAGCTGAGAGGCCCATTCTATCCCATGGAGGGTTTCTCCTCTAAAAGAAAGTAACCAATGCATTACTACTTCTTGAGATAGATTCATTTGGAAGAGTGATTGGATGTATCAGAAGAATCCATCAGATGGCTGTACCTGAAAGCTTTTCATAGCTTCTTCAGCCAGTGATAGATTATGCTACCCACTGGATTTGGTACTTCACCATGTGTAAAGAAAAGTCAAAGGAGGGAGAGTAAAGCCAATGCTTGTAGGATGCTAATGCTCTCAACTCTGTTGTAGGATCATCTTGGTCATAAAACAACTATGGATATCTCATTGTGTATGTAAAATCATTACTGACTTACCAAAGTCCATGGTAACAATTTATTTAGGTATGGATTTATATATGTTCCTTTTTTTCTTTGTTAAATAAATTCAAAGTAACTAACACAAAAATAATATATCATGAAATGAGTTACACATGCAAATTATGTTAAAAGCAGTCTTGCAGTTTAATTAGTTCAAATAATTAAAACCTAATTTCATACCTTAAAATAATGACCAAAATATAACAACAGAAGGACAGAACTTCAAGCCATGTCCAAAACTTGATGAAAGAAAATTTTTTCCTAAGCTTAAACATACAAGCACATTAACTGTTAGGTGAGGACATACAGAGATCCTAGAAAGTTAGAGACTGAACAAGATACTATACATTGGCAACGAAGAAGAGGAAGAAAAATTGTATTTTTGCTGAGCTTTGTAATTTTTATAGGAGATAGATGGCATTTCCAAGGTGACTTCCTTTCTCCTGGGTGTTCCGTTTAAGTATTGTTGTTGGGCCTTTATTGGAAACAAGTTATGGAGCTCTCAAAAAACTCTCAAAGAAGAAAGAGACTCAGTGACTGCTATAGGAAGGCATAGTCAGCCTCAAAACATCCATTTACCAGGAAATAATCTAAGGATACATCCTGCCACCTCTCTTAACTCTGTAGGATTTTATGTGTCACTTTACCTTACCTTTGTCCTTTTGCTTGGTAGACTGGCAACCTCTCAAAGCCTCCCACTGTTTTTTTTTTTCAATTTCTATTCTTGTCTATGTGACTTGGAGGCATTCTTCTAAATAAATATGATG